GGTGAGATTTTTAAGGCAAGTTTGGTTCTTATACTTTCCAAAGCATTAACATGTTTTTCCTCACATACTTTAAGAGGTACTGTATATCTTTCTTACATATTACATTTTTTTTTTACTAGACAAGAAGAAAAAATGGTACATGCCTTATACACTGCTGCCATGGAAGTCAATGCTGACTCATAGCGACCCTACATCAGGGTTTCTGGGGTGGTAAATCTTTATGTGAGCAGATGGCCTCCGCTGAGCAGCTCGTGGTTTTGAACTGTCAGCCTTGCAGTTAGCAGTTCAGCACTTGCCTGACAGCGCCACCAGATTTCCTTGACAATTAGTGTTATAATTTTGTCATTTTTTGCTAAGAAGCAGTAGTCAAGAATACAGCAACATGCAAAGATCAATCCTCCAGAGTTGACTTTCCAAAGTATCTTGGCTGTAGGTGAATGCCACAGTAGAGGGGAGAGAGAAGGAGACTTGATTCAGGTACTAGATTTGTTGGTTACAAGGTTATGGTGACAGGGGGCAGAACAGTGCTTATACAATGGTAGAGGCAGGAAAAGAATGAATGACGGTAAAAAAAACTAAGATTTGTTTTTCTACTAGGAGAAGGAAGATTGAGAGCGTCTGAGGCAGACCCCATGCAGATAGGAACAAGTTGAAGTTGTCAGTGTTTGAGTATGTTCATAACTCTGGAAGAGAAACCAAAGTCCAGGAGAGGAAAGATGGAGATGGAAAAAGTGAAAGAAGTTGGCAAATTGATGGAGTAAGAGGAGGCAGGTGAAGCTACGATAGGAGCACAGGTGTTGGGATCATCTTGGAGAAGCGACAGGACACGGACTTTTCTGAGACAGGATCTGAGAGCAAGGGAGAGCTCACTGGTTCAGAGACAATCTGAGATGGAAGGGAGGGTATTTACAGAGATTCAAGTCCCATACGCCCAAGCTCCTATCCTATATTCTTAGAGGCTAATTTCATCTACGGGATTTAAGTGAAAGAAGCCACAGAAACATTTGCTTAGAGATTGATGAGTTTTAGATGAACTTTATGTAGTTTTCAATATTGGCATCTCAATGGGATCTATTGGAGATGATCATTTGCAAAGGGCAAGGTACATTTATAGATGGTGTAGGAGAGCTAAAATTAGGGTTACGTTTGGTGTGCCTTGATTTGCCTCTGGATTTTCAGATTAAACGTGACCAGGTCCCACTTATAGCTACATACTAAGAATTTATGGACATCAACTTCTTCAAGATGAACCTATCTCATTTCTTTTCTTTTTTTAATCCCCTCCCCCCCCCCCCCCCCCCCCCCACACACACACACTGTATCTGTATGTTTGGAACTCCTAAAGGCATTCTAGGTAAAACTGTGTGTTGCTCATAGTCGATGACAAATTTGATTTGTGTGTGTGATTCCTGGTGCAATAGAAAATAACAGCATCCCTTCTAAAATCTCTGTACCTGGATGCTTTCTAACTTATGGGTTACGCTACAAAAATACATGTTTCTGCTGTTTGGAATTCCGCATTTCCCAGTAAAACGAAAACAATGTTTTATATGGTTCTAGCATCTCTGATCCATCCGTGAAAGACTATTTCATCTAAAGTGTGTCTGAATTAGTCAAATAATTGCTGTTTCTCACCATGTCCCTATCCAGGAAAGACTTGGATTCCAATGCCTAAGAATAAGAATTGTGTCTCCTTACTCCTGAGCTTTCTTATCTGCTCATATAACTGGGTCTCCCATTTCTCCCTCTTTGCCTCCCCGTCGTCTGGTCATGAAACGGGCATCTATGAGGCACAGGAAGGAGCCATTGGGACGGAGGCTCTTGAAAGTTAAGGGGAGGAGCTGACTGCAGTGATGCTCTGTACCCGTGAAAGGGCCCCTTTTCTGCTGTGCAGTCTGGACCCCACCCAGTTAAACTTCTCATCATCTTCCTCTCCTTCTAGATCAAAAGCGAGTGATCCTGAACTTTTGATCTCCAGCCACACACCCCATGCCTTTCTCTAGGGACATCTGGCATTATCTTGAGATATTTCTGCTCTTTTGATGTTTTCTAAGCTTTTCTGTCACCACACCATGAAAATAGATGAAACAAAAATAACCAATAAATGGCAGTTTCAGGAAATCATAATTAAAAGCTATCCATGCTAGCCACTGGGCTTAAAATAGAGCAAGATTTGGACCCTTCTTTAACCCTCCGTCTCTTGCTTTCCAGTGTGCTCCCTTCATTTCCGAGCATCTTTCCTTCCTTGCCCGGACTGTTCAGCTGGAGAGCCTTGCCAGCGAGTCTTTTCCTTGTTCTTCCAAATGAGGAACAGTGGCACGAAAAGTGCTTTGTTGATGGTCCTTCTAATAAGGAATTAAGGAAAGAGTTCCGCGGATCACGTAGATCCAGCCAGAAGTCTTTCCTGCTGCCCCTCCTTTGAAGAAACGCAGTGCCGGGGATGGCATTCCGATGATAGTACCGAACACTGCTGCACAGCACAGGGCTTTCCACCTTCCACTCCTCTCTTCCTCCCACCCCCACGAGGCTGGCTTTGCCTTTTCATTTTGTCCTGGGCCCAGCATACCAGCTGGTCTTGCCTACCCCAGGGCCTCCAACCAGCCTTGGGCCCACATGAGAGGCAGTTTGATTTGGGTAAGGGGGCAGACAGAAGGAAATTTAAGATTTGTGTAGTTAAGTTCATCATTCCGTGAATTTTGTAGACTATGTTTGCTTCCCACTGAATAGCACACTCCTAGAGGTCAGGGATTGTCATTTATTCTACTAACCATCCCTGATGTCCAGCAGGGGCATGAGTTCAGTTACAGAGCTGAAGAGTGACTATGGCCCATTGGCTTGGGGTTTCCACCAGTTTCTGTCTGAGCAGTGAGTCGGGCCTCTTCTATGATTCTGAATTTTGTTCCACATTTTTTTCACACTCTTTCCAGGACCTTTTATGTTATCTTCCTCAGAGCAATGGGGAATCGGGCACCATTGAATTTATTTGGTCTCAGGGTTGTAGAGACTGATGACTTTTGTAGTCCATTAGTCCATTGGACCAATTGTTTCCATATATCTTTTGATTTTCATTGGCCTTCTTTCCTTCGATGGGAAGAGACCAATAGATGCACCATAGATAACTGTTCATGAGCCTTTAAAACTCCAGTCACTGTTCCCCAAAGTCACAGGTAGTTCACCAAGATAGGACGAAGACCATTGTCTTTGTGAACTATGCTATTCCAATTGACCTTGGTGTCTCCTGAGACTGTAGTTCTGGTCCCCCAGCCCTACCGACTCATTTTTTCCAAGTGTTTGGTGATACCTAAGAAGTTTTCATGACTTTATCCACTGTGCATCCCACCACATCTTTGGATAGCAAAGCTAAACATACACATACAAACATCCTCTGCCAAATCGACATGTGCTTGTTAAATGTACTCCCACCCCTGTTTAGTCTGCGTGTCTATCCAAGCGTCTCCTCATGGGCACCATGGTTGCAGGATTGTGTATAAAACAGTATGTGCCTGTTGCCTTTAACTCCAGCCCAAACCATCTCGCTTTGACTTCCAGCAAAGAGCTAAAATCCCTTCACAGTACATCTTAGTGAGCTCAGGGTGAAGGAGGAGACTAATTATAAACACGGTCAGTTTCCCACACCATCGCATCAGGATACAGTTGTGTGTTTGGGGTGGTTATAAGGGTTGTGGTCTGTGAACCCTGCTTCTTCCCCATCCCCTTTGGATATTCTCCATAAGGCAAGTTGAACAAGTCTCCTAAAGTTTAAGTTAAATCCACAGCACTTAAAGGAATGCTGAAGTTGTATTCTGGTTAGTTTTCAATTAGCTCACCATGGCAACCACTTTAGTAACACTTCCTCAGGTCTGTCCTCCAGGACTCTGAGATAGATGAAGTATGAGTATATGCCACTGGGCTTCCACTGCCAATCACTCCCATCTCCAGCCTTTCACACAAATACTTTTCAGTACCTACTATGTGACTGGCCTTGGGTTTCCAGGATGAAACAGCTAGCGAGAGTCCTAAAGAGTTTTGCTGACCTGTAGGGAATGCCAAGTGGAATAGAAAGAGAGGAAACTTGCAGCCAAGGGTAATGTCTCTCTTGTCTACTGGTGCATCCACAGTGCAAGCACTGATCATAGTAGGAACTCCATCGGCATAAGTTGAATGGATGACTGGTATTAGTGAGCTATGATAGCTAACTATGGGGAGAGAGAAAAAAGAATAAAAACAATACAAAAAAAAAGGCCTGTCTTGGACTGTTTCATGTTTGAATAAACAATTGTGTACCTCCCTAGCTCTGGAAGGCACCAAGACCTTTTATGTAGCCTTCCTGACACCCACGGTGATGACCTGGGAGAAGGTCACTTGTGAGTGTCGAATCCAGTTAAAATGCAGGGACATTTGGAGACGTTTTAGAAAGGTTTTCCTGGAAGTAGATTGCCACATCTTCTTCCTGGGGAGCGATTGTTGGGTTCAAACTTCCTCCCTTTGGGTTAGCAGTCAAATGCTTTAACCACTGTGCCACCAGGGCTCCTGAGTCCATTGGTAAACCTGCTTTCTTTTTCACTTACAGTATGCTAAGGGGCTTTACTATCTTGGAAAAATCACCTATGAAACATAATCTTTCCCTAATGATAATGGGTAAAGGATAATGTGATTTGTTTTCTTTTCCCTCCTAAGTGATGCTATTAAAAATTCATGCCAATTGAACCTTTGAAAAGTGGGAAATTACTGTTTTTAGAGAAATCTTCATAGTACACAGCCATGTAATAGCATGTACTACTGTAAGAGTGGTTGCAAAAAATAAGAAAACATGTCTTGAGTAATGTCCTTTGGAAAATTTGGATCTGTAGAAATAACTGAGATTTGGAGTGTCCTCCAGCTTCTTGTAAGGAAAACTCAGGAAGCGATTGGAGTGATTCCATTTTCGTTACTCAATAGCATTGCTGTGTTACTTTCTTGTTTCAAGAGAATGCTTACTAACAGTGCTGTTTGCTTCACAGCTTTTTTGGGAGAAGAGGCTACAAGGACTTAGTGCATCCGATGTAACAGAACAAATCATAAAAACCATGGAACTACCTAAAGGTCTTCAAGGTATGATGGAAGTTCAGGGGAACAGATGTTTAAGTCCTTACTGCGTGCTGGCATTGTTAGATGCTGTGGATTCAAAAATGTCTGTGGCCTGTTCTTAGCTTATGGGGATCATACTCTTTGCCGGAGGACATCTGGTTTGTAGTAACCCTGGGGAAAATGTATATTGTGTTTTTTAAAAAAATAATTTTATTGGGGGCTCTTCCAGCTCTTATAACAATCCATCCATCCATCAATTGTATCAAGCACACTTGTACAGATGTTGTCATCATCATTTGCAAAACATTTTCTTTTTACTTGAGCCCTTGGTATCAGATAATAATAATAATAATATGTAATTTATCAAGGGCTCACGAGGGTGGAAGGGAGGGGAAGGCGGGAAAATGCATGCTTCTATGTACATTTTCCAACTTGTGCTTTTCAAGTTTGCTTCAGTCCAGTAGGCTATGTATGGTTTTTTCCTTGGGTAAAATGTTGGCTTCAGTTGGGTTCATCATGTAAGTTAGCTCACGTGCAGTTTTTAGCAACCAATGAGGATGCTCCAAGTTGAAAGCAACACCTGGTCCCTGTGTTTGGTCTGTCTCTGAGCCAAAGTACCCTTAGCAGCTTGGCTTCCTCTTCTCCCACCAGGAAGTGCTGCTGTAAGAAGCAGTGGGAACAGAATGCTCCTTGGCCCAGTAACAGCCCAAGTGAGACTTGGGATCGGGGACTCCAGTGGCTAGTCTAGCCTATCATATGAGGGTTTTCAAAAAGTCTGTGGGGAAATTTCATCTTCTTTTAGTTTCGTTTTTCCATGAATTTTTGAAGCCACCTCCACATATCAGAGAAGCACACTTTTTAGAAGTCTTAAAACTTTGGGCTTCCGAATCTTAATGTATATTGGATTGCTCAAAGCTCCTCACGCTAACTTACAGGTTGAAGGTTGTCCCCTCCTTTTATGGTCTTGGGGGAGGACAGAGCTTTCTGTCTGTGGAGTTACCATCTTGGAAACCCACCGGGGCAGCACTACTCTGTCCTGTGCGGTCTCTATGAGGCAGCATTGACCGATGGCAGCCAGTTTGCTTCTGTTTTTGTCTTTATGCTCTCGGAAGTGATTGCTTTAGCTAGTTTAACAACTGGATCTTAAGCATTGAAGTGAAGCGTGGCCGTGGTTTCTGTCTCATTCAAATAGTCAGGTGTGCACTTCATAGTTCCATTAATCTGGAGACTTTGTTTCTGCTGTTAGCAGCTGCGGGCCAGTTTGGCTATGGATTTGCAAAGCTTGCAGACAAAGCTGCAGCTCCAGCATACTCCCACGGGGTTCTGCAGGGAATTCCTGAAACAGAGAAACATGGAGATGCTGCTGGCAGTGAATGCCAAGAGCTGCAAGGAGAGAGCACGCCACAGCCCTCAGAATGCCTTCATAATGAGCTCATTACGTCATCACTCACTCACTGTATTGCATAAAGGGCTTTCAAATAGTGGACCTTGCTTGAGGACATGAAACCAGCCTTTTAGAAGCTTAGTCCTTCAGAAAACACATTTTAAGATGATGTTGAGGTTTTATTCAAATGTTCAGTTGTCTCGTTATTATTACTGTGAATTCTATCGGCGTCGAATAAGCACGAGGTGCGTATGGCGGTACTCTACGCTGCCTTGACTTGCTTCAGGTGAATCAGACAGCAAGGACCAGGATGTAGACGTCTCAGTTGGCTAAGGTTGCATGGGGTGCTCAGTGCCTCCATCCATCTCTTTTCTGTTAACTAGTGGCCATTTCTACTGCAGGAGTTGGTCCGGGCAGTAACGACGAGACCCTTTTATCTGCTGTTGCTAGCGCTTTGCACACAAGCTCCGCACCAATTACAGGGCAGATCTCGGCCGCTGCCGTGGAAAAGAACCCCGCTGTTTGGCTCAACACCGCGCAACCCCTCTGCAAGGCTTTCATCGTCACAGACGACGACATTAGGTAAGGCCGTTTAGCATGCCTTTAAACACCTGCATTTTACCTCTTGGAGACATTTTATACGGGCCATTAGGCTTAGGCAGAACGAAAAAGAAGGCTTCGCATTTACTTTTTAAACAGCTCTCACAGACATCGGGCCTTTAGAACAAATGCAGTTTGAAAGAGTATTGAAGCCTTGTGGCTAAGGGCCTCAACCGGGCCTAAGGCCAGGCCCCAGATGCTCTGTTCTCATCGTGGGCTTTGTGATGGGAGATTCGGGCTTTCTGCGCTCAGCCCTCTGGAGCAGTGCTGCCTGCAGCCCTTGCTCCCTCCATTGGTTTGTCAACACAGATCTCGCTCCTGCTGCCTTTACTTCAGCTCGGCTGCATCTCCAGAGTCCGGTGCATTTCTCTTGAGTATACTTACTTCACTTACATGCAATTTGGAGATTTATTTATCTTTCCCTGGCTCCAAGAAACGTTTTAAGGTGCCCCAAAGGCACACTACACACACACACACACACACACACACACACACACACACCACACACACAACACACACACACACACACACACACACTCGTTCTCTAGATGAAGGGCACAAGCAAACGCGAAAGATGAGCAAAGGTTAAAGGAATAAAACAGAACCAGAAAGGAGGCAAAGGAGCCCTGCTGGTGAGTAGTGGGTTGTGCGTTGGGCTGCTAGTCCCATGGTTGGTAGTTTGAATCCACCACCCCGGCGGAGGGACAAAGACAAAGCTTACCACGCCCTTAAAGGGTTAAACCTCAGAAACCCACAGGGCCGGTTCTCCCTGTCCTATGTGGTCACTGTTGTTGGAAAGGACTCCACGGCCGGGAGGTTTTTCTTTTTTTCAGAAACGAGGAGCAGACACACGCTGTGACTCTTGACAGTTTTCCTCATTCTAGGATTGAGGCCCAGGTTAGGTTTTTATCAGCAAGTAGGAAAAGGACATCGTCCAATTTAGATTTATCGAATATCTAGAAGAAAAAGCAAGCCATTGCTCAGGAGAAGTACGACTATTCCAAAGGAGACCTGAAAGGAATTGCCATGCAGAGCTTTTGAACTACTCTGACTGGCTGTTGGTGATACTGTAGTGTGCTGTGTTTTCTTTTAAAATAGGAGTTTATACACTACACTACAGGAGACTTCAGAGATGTTATGGGTTTGGTTCCAGCCACTGCCATTAAGTGACCCGCATGAGGTCACTTAAAGTGAGCCGCATGAGGCTTTTGGCTTCCCACTGCATAAAAGTTATGTCTGCATGACACTGTAGTCTCTTAAGAGTGTAATAGCATTAGGAAAGAGTTAGAAAAACTTGGGTGAATTACCAAAATACAACACAGAGACACAAAGCGAGCCCATAGTATTTGAAAAAAGCTATACCAACAGACTTGTTCGATGTAGAATTGCCACAAGCCTTCAGTTTGTGGAAAACATAATGTCTATGAAGTGCAATCAAGCAAAGCACAAGAAAGCAAGTCCCGCCTGCATCTCTAGCCCCTGAACACTGTCAGCAATGACCTTCCTGCCGCACTGTCCCGAGAAAAACCAGCAGATGGCATCTTCAAATCATGTAGGTTGAAAATACATTTCATATTGCATTTTTGTGCTTTCTCAAACCATAAAAGGTTGACCTGAACAGGTTTTGAAATATATGGGTCTAGCTAGGGTTATAATTGGAAAATTCTTTTTATAAACAAAAGCAGTTCCGTTTATAAAGCTAAAAGGGATCAAAGTTGTTACCACACCCCTTGATCAAATGGAGTTTATGATCAGCTTTCTTTTTATAAGAAAACTAATCTGAAAAAGCAAAGAGAGAATTGCTTTCCCCTTTGGACTGTGCTTTCCTTGGAGAAAGAAAATGAAGAGCAGGACCAGCTCTCTGCGTCCCGGGAGGAGAGCAATGCCCGCACCTACAGGGACCCCCCTGGTGTTTGGGGCAGACTGGGGTTCTCTGAGCGATCTCAGGAGAATGCAGTCACTCCTTTTGGTCACGGAGGAAAGGATCTCAGAGCTAGCTATGCACGATTTCCTTTTAAGATGAACTTATTTTAAAAATTGCTCCTTTGATGGAATTATCATAAAAGAAATGATTAATTAAATATTTCTTGGGGAATTAATCCAGGTTCGAGATAAGTTGCTGCAAATAGAATTGTTGCTCTCTTTCTCTCTTTTTGAACTGCATAGCCAATATCTTATTTCTTGTAAGCCTCCAGCTAAAGTGCACCACATTCACTAGGTACTATTCCCCCACCATACCCCAAATACTGCATAAAAACCCAAATCAACTCATTGCTGCCGAGTTGATTCTGACTCATAGTGACCCGATAGCCCTGGGTTGAATTGCCCCTGGTGAGTTTCTGAGACAGAAAATCTTTTAGGAATAGAAAACCAGATCTTTCACTCATGGAGTGGCTGATGGTCTTGAACTGTGGACCTTGAGGATCGTAGCCCAATGTGTAACTATCACGCCACCAGGGCTCCTCAATACTGTCTAAGCAATCCATTGAAAACTTGGCAGTGTAAAGCAACACCCACTTTTTGCTCACAGTTCTGTAGTTAGAAGTCTGGGCACAGCCTGGCTGAGATCCCTCTCCCGTCTTGGAAGGATGATCAGTGTTGGCTACTATCTTTTCTGGAGCTGGGCGCTTTCAGGCTTACAAGAAACAGTTCTCTGTGCTGGGTCCCCTGTCCTCTTGTTGCCTATAAAAGGGGTCAGCTTTGGGTGGCAATCCCAGCAGCACCAAGCTACATCTTTCTTTCGTATAACAGCTCGTGGCTCTGAATCCCTAACCTTCCTATTAGCCGCCAGCTGCCTAACCCCGCACCACCAGGGGTTCTTGCTCCTCAGCAGTGCAGACTCTTATTATTATTACTTCTGATGACTTAGAGGTATCCCCCTCCTTTTTGTCATCCTGCTGCCATCCCTGAGACAGGGAAACTCTGAGGCTTGGGAGGGAACGTGCCTTGAGAAGCAGCTTCTTAGCTTCTTCGGCAACTGGATGTGCAAGAGCCGCTTCTCAGTCTCGGCCTGCAGTGTCCAGGATCCCAGGGCCTCGGGCCTGCAAGACAATGCGGACATGGCCCGGCCTTGGCGCCCTCCATCTTGCTCAGCACGTGGGGGCACATGCCTCTCTTCCTTCTTGAATCTGTGCTTGATTCTCCTCTGGCCCCCCTGTTCTAATGATCCTGTCCACCAACGAGGTGCCCAGGGGGCATAGGTCAGCGGTTCCAAATCACCAGCTCCTCCTCGGGTTTCCACTCCCCTAAAAAGTGCCAGTCTTGGGTCTCCCCTGCCCTGCTGTGAGTAGTCCGGGTCTTTTGGGTTTTCAATGAATCAACAGCAACAACACTTCCTGTGAGGTGGGGTGGGGCGGTGACCAGGTCACTGAAATCCCTCCCTCCCTCCCAGCCTCGCCTGGGAGACAGGGCGCAGGTCGGGCTGGCCTTCCTCTTTGGCAAAGCCTTAGTTTGGTGCCAGCACAGATTCCCCCCCCCTGCAAAACTGGCCGCTGCCCTCTCCTCACCCCGCCCGCCCCTGCCCAGGCGTTGAAAGGGATCTAATCACTTCTGAGGGACGTTTTATACAATGCGAGCAGCGGCTCCCCGCTTCCCGCTGGCCCACTCCTCACTGCCCCGCCCTTCTATTTTGGAAAAGGAAACAAGAAGAGCGAGTCCAACAGGTGCGGAAGAAATTGGAAGAAGCGCTGATGGCAGACATCTTGTCACGAGCGGCCGATACAGAGGAGCTGGACCTTGAAATGGACAGTGGAGACGAAGCCTAAGGCAACGATCAGGTACCGGAACTGCAGGGACACCGAGGCGTGGAACGGAAGTGGTTTTCTTGTTATGTCCCCTCTAGTTTAATTGCCCCTCCCCGCCTGGGTATTGTAAGGCCCCCTGGTCGGAGAGCGCAGCGGCATGCTTCTCCTGGTGCTGCTCAGGGGCCACGGGGAACCTTACCCAGTCCTCTGGTTCTCCTGAACCAGCCCTGCAGCCACTTTCAAGGGTCACAGGCTTTCCTGTAGCAAAAGGACTGTGCCGGGGAGGGGGCCTGGCCACCCTCATCACCCAGGCTGTCCCTGCGGAGACCCCATCCTCTGAAGGTGGCTGTCATCTTCCCCATACTAGCTTCTTGGGCTATGCATCCAAAAGTAGGCAAAAATCCCTCCCTTCTGCTAGGTTCTCCTCAGCACAGACTGCATGCAGACAGCACCAGAAGCACAGGTATATTTAGACAGAGAATAGTTTACCTGGAATCATTTTTAATTGGACAAATTCCTTTAATTTATCTTAAAAAATAATAAAGGCACAAAAAATCCATCTTCAAGGCCATCTATTTGAAACGGTGGCACTCAAGTCCCCAAGGGCTTACTGGCACCTCATTTTCCAAATTTGACCCGGCTTAGTTGCGGCGGGGATTGTTTGTTTTACTTTCTCCCCTCCATAAGCTGATCATTTATTTTCCCCTTTGAAGCCCAACCTGAGAAGGAGCACGAGGTGGCAGGAAAGAGAAAACTGAGAGTAAGAGTGAGAGAGAGGATTTGGGGGATGGGGGCGGGTCAAGAGTGGGGAAGAGAGAGAAGACACCAAGTCTGCAGTCTGTAAGGCCTCTCAGAAGCCTTCTCTCTCCCTTCGAGACTGGTACCCATCCTGACACTCAGTGCCAGTTGCTGGGGATACAGTGTTGAGCACACCCAGCAAGGTCCAATGACCGCCTTAAACAAACACTCTGAGGGCTATGCAGTTACCAGCTGTGATAGGCACTATAAAGACAAAATACAAGTGCGGTGTCAGCTGGTAGCAGGGGACCCAGTATGGCTTAAAGGGTCACCCAAAGCCCCTCTGAGGGAGTGACTTTTACGTTGAGCCCTGAAAGGTGAGTAGGAGTGGGTCCGGAGAAATTTGGAGAAATCGTGCTCCATCAAAAGAAAGAGCAAGGCAAAGCTGGCCTCTTCTCAAGAGCCATGTGGTTCGGATGCAGGAAGTGATGGCAACGTGGGGGCAGGGGGGTGGGTGGGGGAGGAACCTAATATTGTAAGGCCTGGGCATCATTGAGAAAGATTTTGAGCTTGTCATTAAAACCAGGGTGAACCCACCAAAGGGTGAGTGACGTGACTGGATCTGTATGACAGCTACAAGGGGAAAAAGGGGAACTAGAAATAGGAGAAGCTTGGGAGAGGTTCGGACATCAGGCCAGCAAGAGCCCATGGTAGCTTCCCAGGCTTATGGTAGTGGATGGAGAGAAAGAGGGATGGGGAGACTTGAAGGGTATTGGATGTAGAGGCAACTTGAGCAGATCACTGGGAGCGCAGGTGAAAGAGTGGCCAGGAGGACTCTAGGTTTGCCACTTGGACCCTGAGCTGGGTGGGAAGGTTGGACAAGGAGCCCATCTGTGGGTCAGGAGCAGGGAGGATGAGTTTAATGGTTAACACCGTCTCCCCTTTCTGGAAGTGCAGGGTTTTCTTCATTCAGGGCTGTGGCTCACGACACAGCGAAGCAGAAATCAGGTGATGATGGAAAATGTCCTACATTTCCACGCTCAGACACAGCTGCACCCGTTGGTCACACAGAAGCAGCTGACAAGTTCTGTGCTGTTGTAGTTTTTGCTTTCTGAGTACAGGAAGAAGTGATGTTCTGGCAAGGAAGTGTCTTATGGGATTTGATGAATGTACGGAGTAAAATCTTTCCAAGAGAAGTCTGAAGCTTGAGTTTTCCTTTTTCTTTCTTTCTGTATATAGATATATATATCAACATTTTTAATATACTTTAATATATATATTTTTAATCAGCATTAATTCTTGAAAAGCCCTCCTCTTCTCTGAGAGCTTCTTAGCCTTTTCTGTTCCCTTTCAGACGGTTTCCTTAAAACCCTCTGAGGATTATCAAGGGCTGTCTAACTGTGGGGTTGGTAATGCCGGACCCTGCAGATTGGCACCGAGGCGGCTCCGATCGACTTCAGCTGGCCCAGGGTTTAGGCACTGGGCATGCTGCTCTCCCAGAAGCTGGCAGCTACTCACTGCCTTGAACACATGTGGGCAGTGGGGGTCATTCACTAACTAATAATGGGCAATACATTTTGATTAATTCTTAGAAAGTAGCCATTATTTTTGGCATGGTGAATATAGGGAGATGTACGTTAGGTATGTCAGATGTTAACATTTGAAAATGACCTTAGTATTAGTAGGTCATTAGACTTGTAGGTGGTAGATGAATTAAGAGTACTTCTTAATGATAAAGATTACATTTTCCCAACTCACTCATTTTAGCCCTCTATGCCCTTAAAGTGTTGCATGAACCAGAGCGCTGGCATGTGACTTTAATTGGGTGCTCAGACTCACCTCTGGACTAGGTAGGACAGCTTAGCCTGGAGAAAGGTGGGGTGGTGCCCAGTTCATTGGGTTGGTCAGACATGGAACCTGAGTCTCTCGGTCACAGTTCTCTTCACATGTGGCCATTCCATCATATTCCTTCTAATGCTGTGAATTAGGAAGCTGGACTTTTAAAATATAGACATGTAGGTAGCAACGGGCTGGGACTTGCTGTGTTGCTTCGATTTGTCAGTCTGGAAGCACCCAGATGAACTGGGTGATCTGCCAGACCTTTGAGGAGTGGTTGCAGGAAAATAGCTGTACGAGGCACAGGTGTTTAAAATACTTCTTTAGCTGCGAGTGACTCCATAAATCATTTCATAGATAATTGCAGTGCCCATTGACCCAAGGTCAACATCCGTCATGTGCAAGTGCTTTGAAGGAAAATAAACCCCATCTTTGGGCAGAGAAAGAAATCCTTGCAAATCGAACCTTCTCTGAATGTTTCTAAACTCTGTTTGGATCTGGCCCAATCAATTAGGCTTTTCTTCGTCACTTGGGTACTTTTCTGCCTTCTTCTTTCACGCTGACTTAGATCATGGTAGACAGAGCTTAGTCACATCCGCACACAGAGGAACACATCAAAGGGCATTCCACTGTCATCAGAACAGAACTCCCGAAACAAGCAGGGGACATCCCGAGACTTGTAATACATGATGTGACGTTCCTAAAAGCCCCTGGGAGAGAATGGTAGCCCTGAGGGAAACGTCGTTTTGAGTGACTTTGTCCTGTTTTGCAGGCCTCTCGCTGGCACCGTCGGGACCTTACCTCAGCTTCATTTTTGTTTGTTTGTTTCCTTCCAGGTAGCTCTCGACCGACTCTCCCCAAGAGCAAATTCCTAGAAATTCAACAAAAATGTTTCCACTGGGTTTTGTCTGTTAAGAAAAAAGAAAGAAAAACGCGAACCCGACCACATAGAGCTTTTTAATAGCACTAACCAATGCCTTTTTAGATGTATTTTTGATGTACATATCTATTATTCAAAAAAATAATGTTTATTTTGAGTCTGAGGACTTAAAAGTAGTCTTTTTTAATATCAAGCAAGACCCTTCAAATAAAGCTGAGCTTTGGATGCTAGGTGCAGTCTACTGGAGATGCAGCACTTACACGGAATCCTTGTCTCCCCCTCACCCCCCCTGCAGTTTTAATATGGATGGATCAGGAGTACCAAATAAATTTCCCAATGAAAGATTATTGTGACTTCATTGTATATAAACAGATTTTTATACTTCTATTGAAAAGGACACCTGTACATTCTTCCATCATCACTGTAAAGACAAATAAATGATTATATTCACAGATGGATTGGAATTCTTTCTGTTAAAAAGCACACACAATAAAGAGCCACTCCTCACCGACTCCCCCTCCCCTCTAAATTCCTGGTTTACATTCCACTTTGATTCTTGGATCTTTGAGAATGTGGTGGTGGAAAGAACTGAGACTTTTGCAGTGCAGTATGCCTCAGAAGAGAAGTCACCGAAATTGTGTTGCCGTCACTAGAATTTCTCCATTGCCATCTAGCCTGTGTGTGATTAGTACTTCTGAGAAACAAAACAAAACAAACAAAAACTAAAAACGACCCCCAAAACCCAAACTCACTGTCATCCAGTTGATTCCAGCTCATAGCGACCCCCATGGAACGGGGTAGAACTAGCCCGTGTGGGTTTCTGAGTGTATGGGAGCAGAAAGCCTTCCCAAGTTTCCCCTGTGCAGCGGCTGGCCCCTTTGGACTGCTGACCAAGTCATGACCACTGCGCTGCGAGGGCTCCTGTGTACTTCTGAAAGTGCTCTACGAATAAACTTCTTTCTTTGCTTGGACACGAGTCTGATGCTACCAGAAGTTCGTGTTTATTGTTTTTCCCTTGAAGATTTCTCGCTTTCTAAGTATCACCGAAGAGCCCGGCAGCATAGCAGGTTAGGCTTTGGACTGCTAACCTAAGGGTCCACATCAGCCACCCTCCGCTGCTCCTTGGGACACAGACTAATCTGTTGGCTCCCTTGAAGATTTAGTCTCAGAAATCCCTCGGCAGGGACCTTGGGAGTTGGCTTCAACTCCTTGGCAGTGAGTTAATGTTCACTCACAGGAGTCCTGCTGGTTGATTGCTTACCTGCCAAGCAAAATGTCTGTGGTTCAAACTCACCCACCCGCCTCTCCATTCAGGATGAGGCTGTCTGCCTTTGTAATGATTTACAGCCTTAGAAACCCCTTGGGGGCAGTTCTACTCTGCCCTGTAGGCGCCTTCTGAGTTGGAAATGATTTGATGGCAGTGGACTTTGTATTAATGTTCATGAGCTGACTGAGTTAACAGGTGAGGCTCAGACCCCAGGCCACAAAGAGAGGCAGCCCCGAGGCCTAGTTCCTTGATGTCTCAGCTTGGAACGCTTACTCGTCAGTATGCAGCCTCCAATGTATTAACTTATTTTTCTATTGAAATTCAAAAGTCTCCATCACCACGTAAAATTCCTTGCTGTTTAATTACTAAAACTGGCACAGCATTAAAAAAAAAAAGAGTTTGTTTTTAATCAAAACACACTTAAATGAATCTGCACCAGGGAAGGTGGGGAGGTAGTTATATGCAAATTTTGAGATCCCAAATAATGTCTTCCTTTTATAGGAATTCTTAGTTCTTACAATTACATCCAGAAGGGATGTGGTCAGGGAGGTGGCCAATTCCACCTGAGTGTCATCTGTGCATTTTATGGCTCCTCCCCCCAACACCCTTCTCGTCCCCAAGGAAGGGAAAGAGGGACAGAGTCCCAGTAGTCGCTGACTGGCTAGGGTTGGGCTGCTGCCATCCGTCTGTATCAAACAACATAAATTGGCCCTTCTAGGAACTCCCCGTTTACATTCAACTCCGATCCATGGGCTGCAGGCCACCCACTTCCTGGGAGCCGTCTGTTGCCCATCAAGAGGAACATTTGTGAGCTGGGAGAGCAACGGCCCGGATTGTACTGGTGCCCAGCCCGCTGTTCCTGTTGGGCTGAGGTAGGGGGATCGTCTGAGTTTCCTTTAAGACTGTGTGACGAGCTAGAATGGTTATCCTCCCCCACTTCGCTCAAGGCCATGACTCTTTGTTTGTCACCAGGCTTGGGAGTCACTGCATCTTGATGGCTGTAGATTGATTTTTACAAAACCATCCAACCCAGACACCCACGCTCATAGCAGAAGCTTTTGTTAAAACAGAGACCACGTACAGAAAATGGACTCCCTGCCTCCTATCCTGTTCTCAGGTGGAGAACAAGGTATAAAAGCCCTTACATGGTGTCCACCTGGGGCTACTCTGTAAACCCTCAGTGTCCCTAATATGCCCTGGGAGAATATGCCCCCAAATGACATTCGTTCGTCAGGTTAGCCCCGCCAGCCTCCCGCTCTTTTACATTCCCTGACTCAGGTGAACACGAGCCACCATCCTTTCCAGCGGCCCAAGGCAGGACTCGCCCAGGGGGCTCCCTCAGACATCCTGTCATTCCTGGTAGATCGGCTGACTGCACATCTCACCAAGCTCTGTCTTCTCCTTCCCCAGAAGCACTGCCCTCGGGGGACCTCCTTTCATCTCTGGACATGGCAGTGGCTTCCTCAGGGGCTCCCCGTTTCTCCCTGCCCGTTGTCCCTCTTTCCATTCCGGTTCCCTCTCGAACCCTCCTCCGCCCTCCTCCCAGTGCTTCTCTCTACAGGCGCGTGCTTGCTCCCTTACCACTGCCCTGCCCCACCCCTGCCCTGCCCTCCTGGGCTGGTGGCCTTAGAATGACTCTGAGCAGCAAACACTTTGAAGTTAGGGGAAGCTGTGTTTGAGTCGTGGTTTGGCCATTTGTGTGACTCTTCCAGTGATGGTGACATGGTCTCTTTGAGCCTGTTCCTCTTCAGTGAAACAGGAATGACAATACCTACCTCAGAGCTGTCATGAGGACTGCGTGGGACACTAAGTTCTCCAGCGTACCGCCTGAGGCGTCCCGAGGGCCCACACGTCACCTCCAAGAGACCACCTGTCACCGATGACCCTCAAGCTCTATCCCCAACTCTACTTCCGGTCACAGCAGAATGAAGTCTGTATTTCAAAAGTCTGTGTTTTATTGCTTGTTGACACGTCGCCCATCCCACCACTAGAATGTAAGCTCCCAGGGAGCAAGGCTGTGTCTGTCCGCCTCCCTGCCACCTCTCACCCCAGCGTTTAGCCTGGGGCCTGAGAAGAATAGGAAGTACTGAGTATCGGTTGACTGAATGGAAAATAGATCAAAAGGCCCCTCCTCGTGTTCTTCTACCTACCTAGTTGGTCGCACCCTGTCACTGTTCCCATCTTACCTTTGGCTCGAGGAAAAACTACCTGCTCCTCCTGCAGTGTCCACCGAGCTCCACCCCCGAGCCTTTGCCTGAAACCGCCTCCGCTTGCCAGTCGCCAGCGCGTTGGTCAAGTCTTAGTGCAATGGCTACCGCCTCTGAGAAGTTGCCTCTGGATTGTCCAGGCAGATGGACTTCTCCCTCTTCTCAGTTCAGGTTGCACTTTGTAAATACCTCCGTGGAAGCACTTTACTATATTGCATTGTAAAATGATAATTTGTTGCATGTCCGTTTCTATGATTAGACTGTATGCACCATGACAGCAGAGACTGTCATGTGCCCTAATGTGCCCGGCACCTCGCGCAGTGTCTGACACCTACTAGCTTGTCAGTAGCTACTTGTTGAATGAGTTCCCGAGTCCGTGGAGTTGCTGCGTTAGGAAAATGTTGCACGGTGTAAGTGTTATCCAGAAAGGGAATGCCCTGAAGACTTCCGGAATATTTTTGTTGTTGTTGTTCTAGGGGAGAGATCTAGACAGCGTTATGTAATCTCTTTGACTCTAAGATTACTTGTTTGAAGTTTAAGAATCATAAATGGAATACTATAGACCTTCGTAAAATGACCGCAAAAGACGTCAAAAAGCTTTGTGATGCTAACTCAAAGTCCAAACTCAATATTTGCACTATTAGTGTTTCCTGAGTACATGCTATGAGAAAGATGTACAGCAATAAATTTTGAAGCTTTAAAAATGCCTGTGTAAGTCATCTTCAATGACTTCATCCGTGAGGGATGTCTCTGGTCTATGTTTCCCAGATACAAGGGTGTAGGATTCCCAAACAGCCCGAGGCGATGCAGTGACAAGCCTCTTGCTCATTTCTGAGATGATTGGGCCAGCATTTTGAGGACGTGGAGAGGGCAAAGGTCCCTTACCGAGTCTGGAAGAAGCCATGCTAGATCTCATGAGGCTCACTGGAGAGTCTCCACAGCCCACACCCATAGGTTCCTCTGTCTCCCGTTTTCTTGTCTGGGATGGGGGACGGAACCTCTTCAAAACCTCCTGCTCTCCCTCGGCCAGTCCCTGGGTGGGGCAGGGATCAGCAGGAAGTTGCCACAGGAGGAGGTTGGGAAGGGCTGTGGGACTGGGAATGGAACAAGGGACAATCTGCCTGCACAGCTCAGAGGGACAGGGCCGATTTTGAAATGTTAAATTGCACTCTGATCTTTTTGTTTTCATGGTGAGGACAGCGTGTTACGTTTCCTCTCATTTATATAGCATTTCCTGATGTATAGAACACGTTCACCACCATTAAGGATCCCTGGTGGCACTGCCAGGTAAGCATTGTACTGCTAACCTCAAGGTCAGGGGTTCAAACCTACTTACTTTCTCCATGGAAGAAAGATGAGGCTACTAGCTCCCATAAATATTTACATCCTTGGAAACATTATTTAGGGTCAATCTGAGTAGGAATCGACTTCATGACAATGGATTTGATTTTTTTACCTCCATGTGTTATACCTCCATATATTAGTCCAGATTGATTAGAGAAACAATCCCAGAGACACACACACATATATATGTAAGAGAGAACTTTATATCAAGAAATAATTATGCATCAATAAAACATCCTAGCCCAGTCCAGATTAAGTCCATAAGTTCAATATTAGCCAAAAGTGCGATATTAGTCGATGAATTCCTCTTCTGACTCACACAGCACATTCAATGATGCTGAATACAGGAAGATAGTAAGCCGGTGGGTGGAAAGTCCTGTGAGTCCAATGGTGGGAGATGCATCTGCAGGGCTTTGGCTGCCATCCACATGGCTCCATGTGACTTGTCAACAGGAATGTGAAGCAGTGAAAGAGACAAAGAGAGAGAGTGTGTGTGTGCTGCCACCAGGGTAGAAGAAAAGGAGTTCCCAGAATCCTCATGATCACAGGAGACATCTTAAGGCTGTGATCTGACTGACAGGCTAGCGTCCACCCCTTGATTCTATTTATCAAGTTGACATGAAATTATGTAACC